AAGTAGGAAACAATCAATCCTTCTAGATCATGGTACATGCATGAGAGATCACCAGAACTGTTGACATGTATGCCTAGGCACAAGTATGGAGGAGTGAAGGTTGCCTAGACCTTCCATTCCCCATTTAGGCTATTGAGACATTATCCAGAGGCCAGTTCGAATCCAGATGTTCAGTGCCTCAATGGCTGTAGTTATATGTGCATCCGCAAACTGAACCTGGGCTCTCCTGGGTGGTAGACAAGGATTTTACCACTGAACCACAACAATGGGATAAGCTTTTCAAATACTGTACAAAAACTAGTCCTTGACAGAATATAGTACACATTTTTAATAAACGTATTGGGTATGACAGCTGACCTTCTAAGTTGGACTGTGCATTATTGCCACGTAATACTGTCTCCTTTTCTTCCCCCCACACCCTGCAAAATAATCAGACTGACTGCGTATGAACACACAGCAAGGGTGTAAAAATGGACATTTATTACAACTAAACTGACAGTATACTAAGACAGAAGTCAAATGGCTTATTTGTCACAATCACAACAAAGCTTAATCCAGCCAAGCACATACAAGTGACAGCGTAAACCTTAGAAACATGTTCGTTTAATAGATATAAAATTGAGTTATGTTTGACATTTTAAATGAAGGTAATTCAATCACATCAAACAGCACACACAGGGGGGCCATTCTAATACCACTTCTACTTTTGTTGTTCTTGTTGCACATTTTACATCACTACAGTGTGAAACTAGGCTCCTGTGCATCTTAGGCAAATACGATATTGCACTGATCTGATACGCCAGGGTCTGGTAGTTGGTATAAGTTGAAATGAATAGAAGTGTTTGGCATTGCTTGCTTCAAGCACAAACTGAAATGTTACGCAGCTGAGTCCACTTTAAATTCCACTGCAAGTCCTCTAGTCTTCCCCCCCCCCAAAATAAAGAAAACACCACACACACTCAGCTTGTGATCACTGCGGGTACATCCAGCAGAACTTCGCTAATTCACACACATTTTCAGAAAAAATGGCACTGATTTCTCAGCCACAACAGTGTTCCATAATGAAATCTCATCATCATTAAGTACTTAAACGTGGAATACGCTGCAACCTCTCCTAGAACTGTCAAAATACAATATATTTTGGTGTATTTTACTTGCTCATTTGTTCACTTACATACTGACATCCATTTGCAACAAGATCTGAATGAATTAGTTTGGTTGTAATGTACACCACTGTTTGATGAAATGTAGTAGTTGAAGAGTAGGTGTGGCATGTGTATGAAAGGTGCAAGTGAAAATGTTGAATAAATGAAGATGGTCACACTTCCTTAATAATCAGCAATCGTATTCCCATTTCAGCATAACCACAGGATACCAGTAAAATGAAGAAAAAAAAAAAAGGTGTTGTTTCTGGGGATCAAAATAAGAACTTAAATTGGACATTGACCTTTCCCTTCCTTTCATGGTCTCAAAACACTCCATTTCACATAATGCACTTCCTCATCTGCGCAGTGAGAATGGTAAAGCATATCATAGATACAAGTCCAGAGTGTAAGCCAAAAAGCACATAAAAATAGTGTTTCAAAAAGGAAATTTCCTACAATCTGCATTCCCTTTGTAACACACAAACTCATGTACTGTTTTGTTTAAAAAGTCTTCATACTATTGTGTCATATTAATTAATCTGTTTGCAGGTCTCTTGCTAAAAATGAAGCCACCTCTACAATTTCTGCCAGTTCAGTATGCAGACTTTAACAGGGTTCTTTGGTATTATAATAATAATAATAATAATAATAATAATAATAATAATAATAATAAAATCAGTAGTAAACAGTTATTCCCAATCTTTTTATATTAACTGGAAAAAAATTCACAAATGCCAACTTAAAATGCAGATGAACAAATAAGTCTTTGGTTGCATAAAACCAAGTTCTGCATTGTTACATTTCATCACTGCAAGTTCTTGCATGTAGTTTTCTTTCAGTGAAATATGGTATGTCATACAGAAGCTGATGCATGTTTCCTGAATTATAAAATCTGTATAATTATTGAAGTTATTACCAGTGGTTTTCTATAAATGCACTGAAAAGAAGTGTCTTGAGTTAGTACACTGAATTCCCTTTCATTTGTCTTTTTTTTTTTTTTTTTTTTTTTTTTTTTTTTAGATATTTTAAATTTTTTATCCCTTTTCTCATTTTACATTGAATATTTTCTTGTAGGCTTGAATGAAGCAGCTTAGCAAAACAGCAATACTGACAAACAGCATCTCACACCATCAGCTAAACATTAAAATGAAGGCAGTGAACATTTACAGTATGAAACACCATGAGACGTCATCAGAGGAGAAGATTTATGTCAATCCAATTTCTTCAAGTACGCTACGTGGGGTCTCAGCTTCCTGTGAAGGAAAAATTTGAAGATAGTGGTAAACAGATTCTATGTTCCTAAGACTAAGAAGTATAAACGGAAAAGTTAAAATGGAAAATGCTTAATTAGAAAAAAAAAGAAAAAACAAAAACTGTGGAAGAGTAAAAAACAAGAATTGGTATGCATATTAACAGTTATTTTAGAAATGCAGCTAAGAAGTCTGTCACAGGTCATAAGAACAGCATGTAGGTTTTATGACCCATTAACACTAAAAATAAAAACCAGACATGCCAGAAGCAACTTAGCAATATAAACATGAATAAAGAAAATCTTGAAATGAAATCAGTTATTTCATTTTGTGACATACCACTTCACTCAGGTCCTCCACTCGAGTAAAAATGAAATGCAACTTAGAGATACAATATCCCTTAAATCTTTTATCATCCTTAAATTCTGGAAATGAATCTTTATCAGGCTTAGTAATATTAAATTCACAAAAATAGCTCTCCCCACTGGAGGTAGTACTATATATATCTGACAGCAAATACTTCATGCAAATTAAGTGACCAGTCTAGATTGAAAGTCCAAAATTTGAGGACTCAGTGTTTTAGATTTAGCACAACTGTTGGGCTCAATTCTACCTTTAAAGAAAGGAATCCCACTATACTTTCAGTGGAGACTTTTGATAAAGCAAGAAATTGTTTTATGTTTTATATGGCATATGTGTATGTTCTACAATTTGAACATATGCATTTCTAAGCAGCTGGAAAATAGCCCATTAAAAAGACTAAGATGTCCATTTTCACACTTACTAGCAATATCTGGATTAATAAAAAGGGATACTGTGTCTTTAAAGAAGAAAAAAATCTTACTTATAATGCTCAGAGAATGAATAAACTTACTTTAGCATCCTAAAGCAAGGCATGTCATGAAGCAAGAAAAAGAAAGATAATTAAGCAACAAACCCTCACAAAGCGTAGTTTTTTTAATCCATCTGAATAACTTGTAAAACAGTCAATTTCCTAGTCTTGCAACTATTTTACTTGAGGAGCTTCATAATTTAAAGCTAACATTTAAGAACAGGCCAACTGGATGTCCATACAAGCAACATGTTGAACAATCAAGTTTATAAATCAGTTTAACTCATGTATAAAATTATTTTGAATATTAGAAGTGACACAGTTCAATACTGAGGTAATCCCAAATACACTTGAAAGCAGGTGTATTTTACTATTTGAAAAGGTGACTTTAGCTCAATACTTGTTCAAAAGTTTTTCCTGCCCTCAGTGTATGCACAACTTCCAACAATGTTAGAAATACACATCTATGAAATCAGGAATAAAGCCTTAAAACGGTTATGTGTTTAGATTAAATCTGATGAGTTTTCCTCCCAACCTACTTCGTAATAGGTGCAACTCTTTCATACCACCCCATGCTTCATTAAAATAAGAGAAGGTCAAGAGGGAGAAATATTATATCTGAAAAGCTCAGGCATATTGCACTCTCTCACAATTAAATTAAGGTTCCAAGACATGGATTGACCTTGATGCTAGTGTGAAACAGTTCTGGCACACTATAAATTGTAAACATGTTAAAATACATATGCATAATTCTATTCTGTAACAGAAGAAAATCTGAATAAAGAATGAAAAATCAAAACTGGTAAAAGAAACAGCATTTTCATGCTTAAGAATATTACAGAAAAAACACTTTAACCAATTTAAAACAATTACCTGAAAATGTCCTTTTAAAGGACATGCATCTTCCCCATACATTCATTTCAAGTATTATTATCATAAATGCTGTATTGTACAATGCTAAACTGCATTCTTTTGGCTGGGCTGAGAGGGAAGAATAGTCAAGCTCTTGTGTAAGTTTCTGGGTGCTTAATAACAAATATTTTTCAACATAGTTTTTCCAAGTTCTAGTTGTAATGGACTGGAAACCAGTGGTCACCTATGCTACACTTGTACTGAAATGGGTTATGTACCCAGTTACTATGAAAGACTTACTTTCCAGTAACTACGCAGTAACTACTACTTAGAGTTGCCACTTAAAACTTCCTTTGCAGTAAGCAATTGTTGGCACTGTATATTCCATTTCAAATCATCTTTAATTGGAGAAGTTTGAACTGTAGTCAAAGATAATAGCTTTTTCCAGACGACTCATATATAAACATACTAGCTTATTCACGATTCAGATACCCAAACAAGAGCATTTTACAGGCTCCTGTGTTCTTAAAAATATAGAGGTAGACTCCAGGAGGAAGTCAGAACATAAACTTATTGCACCATAATACTAGTCTTGAGATCAATACATTTTCTGTGTTCTTACCAGCAGCCCTCTTCATTCCAGTTTGGCACATCTAGCAGTTTTTAAACATTTACAGCTAGAAATATACCTTTAGACTGACCCACCCAGCAAAAAGAGCTGATTTGCCCTACAGTTAAAGTTTACATTTTATTCATTTAAGAAAATATGGTCACACATTTTTATCTAATTGTTGTGGAACATGTTTTGCAGCATTGTATACTATATCTCTGCAGCTCAACAATGCCTGCAGCAAACAATGGAAATTTGAAACAACAGAACCAAGAGATGAAGGGAAAAAAGCCATTCACATGAGACAGAAGTGCATGCAATACTTTATTTCAACCATGCCAGGAAAGCCAATTCATGACCTAGTCATTTAGAAGCAAGCAGCTACATACAGATAACAAGGAAACAGCATCTCATTACAGCTCAATGCATAGCATTTCAGGCCAACAGGCATGAGAGAATGCAGGTTAAAGCAGCATTAACCACATATATTCACGAACTGTTAACACCTCACAACAAAAAGAGCAGCAAAACTTGGGAAAAGGAAAAAAAAAAAAAAAAAAAAAAATCACCCCAGGATCTTGTTTTCTATAAATATCTGAGAACACTGCAAATTTAATTAAAATATTCCCCTCTCCATGGATCCCATTTTTTAAAGCCAGATTGACATTTATTAGGTAGTGCATTACCACATATAAATCATTTATAATTATGCATGGTTGCTTTATTTAACCAAACCCTTTCTATTTAAGGTTATATAAAACTCTGCTTCCAAAGACAGTCTATATATTTTACAGTGTAACAGTCAGTCTTACTAAAAACAGGGAGAAATATATATCTTTTCCTTGCTCTGCATACATTCAGAATAGTTTATTTTAATATTTTTAAAGTGGCAGTTATCTTTCTGTTAAACAATAGATCTTGTATTTAAAACTAAAAATAATGATTAATGAAGACTAAGATTTCAATATGCCACTGATGACTGAACAACAGGCTTTATAAACTACTGGGTGGCAGAAGGGAATGAACTTAGCTAGTAATTTTAATTCTCATTACTGGAAAAAATAATTGTTCAATGCGAGAAACTACAGTTTATTCAACCTTTAAAACATATCAATATAGTGTCAGAACTCTTGAGTTTTGGCATTGCCAGAAGGCATTACCCATGCGGAGCACCAGAGGACAGACAACAATTTCTCCCCTTCATCTTGTCTCTATTGGTACCTTAGATAGTAAATCACCACTGCCTCAACAAAGACTTTTTAAAGGAAGGAAAATTATATTATTTTTGAGCTTTTCTATAGACGTGTGTACACATTTTATAAATTATACACACACAAGTGTACGCTTTTACTTGCTCATAGTTTTATGTGCAATATGTCATCTATATGTTAGAAGGGTGTATGTATACATTCTCTGCATTTTAAAAAGAGGCTCACAGTACCTAACAGGATTGCTACTTGCTCTATGTAAACATCTAAATTATTCTGTCAGTTATTAAATATTAATTTTTAAGTACCACCATAGGTTAACTATTTAAAAGTTAAACTCAGGTCAAGTAATGTATATGCAGATTTAAACTGAAATAGATTTCCAGACAAATGTTAGAACAACACTTTAAAAACTTTTCACATAGCAAGAAATTAAATCATATATTGACAAGAACAAGTTTTATCAAGATAAGACATGAGGAGACAACAATGTAAACAGAAGAGGGGAAAGAAAGTACAACAGCAAAGATAATGGTTGTAATATTCTATTGTGTTCGAGATGATTGGATGCACCAAGCTGAGGATAATGTTCTCTGCCTCGAGTAAGTCAGGTCTACCTCCTCTCTGAACTCTGCATGCATGATGAATGAAGTCATTTAGTACACTGGGACATTAAAGTATTCATGGCGTGGCTACAAAAGAAATGCACACGTTCTTACACACAGTACACAAGTGGACAAGACACACTGAATACTTTTGCTAAAAAGTTCTTAACAATATTGTCTCTAATATAAAGAGGATATCCAGTATAGACCTACAATACACTCCCCTTGTGTACACTGCTCACCATTTTATTACCATCAATACACTTCTCTGGCTAGCAACATTGGAAACTAATACAGACAGAGTACTGGTGTTCTTACCATGGGCAGGTCCAACTGGTTACTAGCTGGAAGCCTGCTACTACTAGCAGCACTGTACCATTAGTAACAAGATTTTAAAAGTCTAATGTACAAGACAGCCTTGAACATTATTCTAGGTCTATTTTTCTCTTCGAGAAAAAGGTGCCTCTTGGATTTCATTAATAGGCTTGTGGTTGGCTTTCAAACTATTAGAAGGCCAGCTTTTTTTAAAAGGGGTGAATATCATTTGCATGGAACATAACGCATTGATGAAATGTTTCTGTCTGAGTATTAAGAGCATTGTAAGTCTTAATCTTCTGCTATATGGAAAAGAAGCTATTTATGTAAGATGCATTAAAGCAGGCTATATCTAGTACTACCAACAGTTGACCTACATTAGATCAAGTCACTTGTGCATAGTAGGAACCCAATAATAATACTGGCAAAACTGAAATGTTGGCAGTACAGATAAGAATTTTTTGGTAAAATTCTGTATTGCAAACACCATCTCCAGGTACCGACATCTGAATCAGGAACTCTCCCCAAAATATAATGCATTTCAACTAACCTTAGAAATATTTGCTATAATTATGATTTGGTACATTTCTCCTTACAATTATCATCTAAAACTGCAGTCTAACTCATTAAAAGGAAGTAATTTTTTTTAAGAGTCTGGTACTCTTAAAACACAATTCCATCTGAACTTTTAAAGGTGATCAAATACAACAATGCCTTTTATGTGGTTTTAAAACGAAATTCCTATCATTTCAACTGTTGAAAATGCCTCTAAACAAGGTACTTGTTTAATGACTATAATATATTCCTAACAACCTTCAATATTCTGAATACTTTTTAAAGATTAAGCTTACTACTGCACTGAAAATTCTTTGAAGTACTGATTTAACCCATTTCTTTTCAACTGTATTACAGATAAGCATATTAGAAGAGCGATCAGCTGAATGTTATTAGATAGGATCTACACAATACTCACAAACACATTTACAGTCTGTAATCATTACAACTTCAAGGACAACTGAATGAAATTTTCAAAAGGATGGAAGGACAGCCACACACAAACAATTTACTGTGTGGTAGAATGGAGTGAAAATTTACTAGTGTCAGCTATTTTCTGGTAAATGATAATGTGGAAGCTATTAAACCACGATGGAGGAATACTAACCCTGAGAGCTAACTGATTCACATCCTTTTTTACTGACAGCTAACAGTTAACTTTGAGTCAGCTTTCATACACTGATAAGACCATGCACTGTGGGCAATCATCACATAACAGCTATTGTGTGATAAAACCCTGCTCCCTTTTACCTTGCAACAACAGAGCCCACCTGCTCATACTGTAAGGAACTTAAGAGTTAAATCTCACTGAAAGTCAACTATCCATTTGCTGAAAATCTCACCAGTTACTATTTGCTACCATGTGCCAATTTAAGTATTATTTCACTATCCATTTCAACAGTCCCCAACAAAACAGATCACTAAAATTCCATAAATGGAATGACAGCATATACCAGAAAAAGTTCTCTAACCTCTAATTTTCCCCCACCTCCACTTCAAAAGATATTAAAAGATATTAAAAGATCTGTATCTTAGCAGAAATTTGAAACCAAAGTATTTTAGATGATGCAAATATCATAAAAATATCATTTCTAAATTTCAGTAGGAACCATTCTTAAGAGAACAGTATCACTCTGCAATGTCTGCAACCCAAACATTGCTGCATATTCAATATTTTAAAAGTTACTACAAACATTTTGACTAATCCAGATGTTCTCAAACTACAAATTGCATGTAAACTGCAGAAAGACAGCATATGGACTGGTTTAAGTTTCTGAATAAGAAACCAATACAACTAAATTGATTAGATTAGAGATTATATGGTACATTTTAAAATAAAGCCCGATAGGTCCTGAAAGTCTAAAAAGCTATTCTTTGACTGCATCAAAACAAATGTAGTATCAACATAAATAGAAGAGTAGATTATAGAGTTCTTGATGCAAGTCATTTGCAGAGTAAGGAAAGCTATCACGTATCAGGCTCGCTGTTTCAGTACCAACTCCTCATGCTACAGCTCAACAATGCTGTAGATCAAGCAATGGGGGGTAGATCAAGGCTCCCCGCAGTGAGGAGGGTGTAGGGCTGGGGCGTGGGATGGAACCACAGCTTGTCCGTGGTGCACGGGAAGCGAGAGGTGAGGCTCCTGCCACTGTGCACAGGTCATTTAGTGGCTCATCTGGCAGCTTCCACCACTCGTCTGGGAGGGCATGGTGGAGGGAGGGAGGGCGGGAAGCGAGTGTGCCATGGATCTGTGTGGAGCAGGCAGTGTCAGCACTGGGAGGGGGGTTATGGGACAGCTACAGCGATTTTTGGAGTGGCTGCAACCTTCCCCAAAGCCCACTGCCAGAGCCACTGCTGCCATCTGCCTGGTGCCAACCCCAGCTTGCAGCTGCAGCCCACCCCACCCACACATTGCGCAGATCTGGCACACATGCACACATCCTGGGAGGACGGGCGGGAGGGGCAACAGCAAGAGCCCCCCCCCCCCCCGCCCCCC